CAGGCAGGAGGGAGGGTGTCTAACAGCAAACACCCACTTGGGAGCCGGCCTGGGGGCAGCAGGCTGCAGGGAAGCATCCAGGCAGGGGCGTACGCTGGGCGACAGGGGTGCACGGCTGGGGTGCCCACCCATCTGCCTCCTCTCTTGTCCAGCCAGGGAAGCGTGCTGGGACCAGAGAGCATCAAGGATGGATTCACATCACATGCCGGGGTTGGGGACCTGGCACAACTGGGGCTCCCGGTGCAGCAAGAGGGCTTGCAACCAGACACCAGGAAGAACTTCCTGGATTGGGAAAAGAGACAGAGATACTCCTCTCTCCATTTCTCCCGGTGGATCTGCGTGCAAAAGTCCCCAACCTCCTGAGGGAGCCGTGGTTGAACTTGCGTGTCTCCCGAGGAAACTGGGGTCAGGGGTTGGGGGACCAAGGGTCAAGGCTTGGGTGGGGGAGGGTTACTGCACACACACACACACACACACACACACACACACACACACACACTCACTCTCTCTCTCTCTCTCTCTCTCTCTCTCTCTCTCTCTCTGCACTAAGCAGCTGTGAGGCGGAAAAACTTCGGTAATGGGGAGCCTGAGTCAGAGGGCTGGCAGGGAGCAGGGCTGCCTTGAGCTCATTGCCTCCCCTGCCCCCAGTCCAGCACCCCCGCTGCCAACAATTAATGTCAACCTCGGGGAAGGAGGAGCCAGACGGAAGGGGGGCTTCGGAGACAGACTGGAAAAGGCATCAGAGAGAGGGAGACAGGCGCACAGCAGTTTCAGGCTTTATTAACAAACGGGTGTTAAAAACCAGATGGGTCTGTCTGCCCCTCTGGGCTCTCACCTTCCCGGGGAGGGGCTGGCCGGGAGGGCAGCACTGTGCCCACTACCCCCCCCTCCCTCCCCTGGGGCTCTCGAGGCAGACGACCCTCCCCTGCAGAGGCGCCCCTCACTCTCTCTCTGCCTCCGCAGCCTCACCCACTCCAAGCACAGCATCAAGCCCCACCCCATTCCCTGGGGGCCTTGTCCCGGCTTGGGGCGCCCCTGCTTAAGTCCTAACCCTGGTCAGGGTGGGGGGCAGGCTTGCTCAGCCTCCTCTCCTCCTGCCCCACGTCCCTCCCAGGCTCGTAGCACAAACGGCACAGGCTTGACAGACAGACAGGCAGATGGGGAGACTTCTCAGTGCAGACAGAATCTGAGGCAGGGGTTAGATGGGCCGACCTCTCTGAGAAGTTCAAACATTACAGACAGACGTCAGGCTGTGGTGGGGTCTCTTGCCCTCTGCAGGCCTCAGTTTCTGGGCCCTGGGTGGGCTGGGGATTCATGGAAGGACGGTGTGAAAGTGTCTGCACACAGTAGGTGCTCACTAAGCGCTGGTTTTCCTTCCTCCAGGGTCTGGCGTCATAGTTCCTTGCTGAACTCCCGCACCAGCGTGTAGCCCATACAGCCCCAGCTCCCCTCGGCCTGGTAGCCACAGCCCTCCAGCATCCCGGCCACGCCCCACGCTGCCACGGCCACCGGGACCACTAGCCGGGCCCGGGGCTCCCCCATGCCACCCGCCCAGGCTCGAGCCCGGGATTCGGCAAAGGCCAGCAGCCGCCTGCCCACGCCTCGGCGGCGGTGCCAGCGAGACACAGAGAGGCGGGTGACCCGGGCCCCGTCTCCAGCGCTGGAGCCTGGGGCCAGGGCCAGGACCCCGCACACATCCCCTGAGCCCCGCACTGCTACCCAGGGCCCCCCCAGCCCGCCCGGCGGGGGCAGCGAGCCCCACCGGGCCCGCAGGCCCAGCTTCATGGCCGCCACGGCCAGGAACACGGGCAGGAGGAGGGCCAGGGCGAAAGAGGCCAGGACGAAGCGCAGGCCGCTGCTGGCTGCCGCCAGGAGGAGCAGGGCCGGTGGCCGCGTCAGGGCGTGGAGGGCCACGCGGTTCTCTGTGTCCTTCACGCCAGCCTGCAGGCAGGAGGGGCAGTCAGAGTGGGGGGGCTCCCATGGGCAGCAGGAACGGGGCGGGGAGGAGGCAGGCCCTGCCCGGGAGGGATCCGGGGCCGGGGTTGCCGGAGGAGAAAGCAAGGCAGTGAGCTGAGGCCTGTGGCGGAGGGTCCAGGACCACACGGCTGGCACAATGGGCTCTGAATGAGTGAGCTGGTGAATTAGGAACTGTGAGGGCTCCCACTTCAGTGGAGAGGCAGGCACCAGGGGGGGCTGGATGGAGGAGCTGACCCAAGCAAGAGAGAAAGCTGGAGGGGCGCCTGGGGCGTCCTGGAGTGCCAGGCTGAGGCCCAAGGGCTCTACTTTGAAAAGCAGGAGGCTGGGGCGTAGGGAAGACTGGAAGTGGGGAGGATAGGGAAGGAGTTGGTGTGTGGTCAGCTTCCACAGCCCTGCAGCGGTGAAAATCCTTTTTGATCCCCAGGGTAGGGAGAGAGAACTAGAGAGAGGAGGGCCCAAGGGCCCTCTTAGGAGCAGCAAAAGACTGCTCGCCGCGGCGTCACGGCTGGCTCAGGAAAGCCACTCAAAATGCCGCCCCTGCCCCCTCCCAGGCTCCGTGGTGTGTCCCCGCCCCACCCCCATGTTCATTGGTGCCCCCTCATTCTGTCCCCGCCCCCTCCCAGGCTCACTGGTGTCCCCGTCCCCTCCCAGGTTCACTGGTGTCCCGGCCCCCCCTCATTGGTTCCCTCCGCAGCCGCCTGCCCACGCCTCGGCGGCGGTGCCAGCGAGACACAGAGAGGCGGGTGACCCGGGCCCCGTCTCCAGCGCTGGAGCCTGGGGCCAGGGCCAGGACCCCGCACACATCCCCTGAGCCCCGCACTGCTACCCAGGGCCCCCCCAGCCCGCCCGGCGGGGGCAGCGAGCCCCACCGGGCCCGCAGGCCCAGCTTCATGGCCGCCACGGCCAGGAACACGGGCAGGAGGAGGGCCAGGGCGAAAGAGGCCAGGACGAAGCGCAGGCCGCTGCTGGCTGCCGCCAGGAGGAGCAGGGCCGGTGGCCGCGTCAGGGCGTGGAGGGCCACGCGGTTCTCTGTGTCCTTCACGCCAGCCTGCAGGCAGGAGGGGCAGTCAGAGTGGGGGGGCTCCCATGGGCAGCAGGAACGGGGCGGGGAGGAGGCAGGCCCTGCCCGGGAGGGATCCGGGGCCGGGGTTGCCGGAGGAGAAAGCAAGGCAGTGAGCTGAGGCCTGTGGCGGAGGGTCCAGGACCACACGGCTGGCACAATGGGCTCTGAATGAGTGAGCTGGTGAATTAGGAACTGTGAGGGCTCCCACTTCAGTGGAGAGGCAGGCACCAGGGGGGGCTGGATGGAGGAGCTGACCCAAGCAAGAGAGAAAGCTGGAGGGGCGCCTGGGGCGTCCTGGAGTGCCAGGCTGAGGCCCAAGGGCTCTACTTTGAAAAGCAGGAGGCTGGGGCGTAGGGAAGACTGGAAGTGGGGAGGATAGGGAAGGAGTTGGTGTGTGGTCAGCTTCCACAGCCCTGCAGCGGTGAAAATCCTTTTTGATCCCCAGGGTAGGGAGAGAGAACTAGAGAGAGGAGGGCCCAAGGGCCCTCTTAGGAGCAGCAAAAGACTGCTCGCCGCGGCGTCACGGCTGGCTCAGGAAAGCCACTCAAAATGCCGCCCCTGCCCCCTCCCAGGCTCCGTGGTGTGTCCCCGCCCCACCCCCATGTTCATTGGTGCCCCCTCATTCTGTCCCCGCCCCCTCCCAGGCTCCGTGGTGTGTCCCCGCCCCACCCCCATGTTCATTGGTGCCCCCTCATTCTGTCCCCGCCCCCTCCCAGGCTCACTGGTGTCCCCGTCCCCTCCCAGGTTCACTGGTGTCCCGGCCCCCCCTCATTGGTACCCTCCACCCCACCCTCCCAGGCTCACTGGCGCCCCTGCCCACTCTCACCTTCAGCATCTCCAGAACTAAGGGTTTCTCATCTTCCCTCATCTCCCGCACCGACAGGTGGCTGGGGGCCATGGCAGCCCCCAGGCTCCCGCGCCCCCAAGGGAGCAGGCGTGCACCTGGCGAAAACAAGCCGGTCAGCGTCAGGAGGGCACCTCTCGTCCCCAAAGCGCCCCACAGCTGCGGATCAAGCAACAGTATATCCCAGGTCAGGTCCCAAGAGAGGTCCGAGACAAGACAGGCTTCCCCGTCAACCCACTGACCTTTCTAAAGTCTCTCGGGGTGCCCCCCCGGCCCCCAGTGGTGTCCAGCGATCTACGCCTAAATGCCCGGTGCACGCCAACACCTGCCAACACCGGGCTCCCTTCCAGGTTCCGGGGCGGCCCTGGGGGTGAGCGAAACTACCCCCACAGGCAGGGAATGGACCGCGCTCCCCACCCCCCAGTGCCCAGAGCCTCTCTGCCCCAATCGCCCCCGAACGGCGTCTGTCGCAGGAACAAGGACTTGCAAGCACCTCTGTGGGTCGCTTCGCTTTTGACAAGGTGCGGGGGGAGCAGGGTTGAGAAGGGGGTCGTCGGCGGAAGTGACGTCAGAGTAGCGCACTGGGGGGCGGGGCGGTGCCTGCTCTCGGCCTTAGCAACTGTTGCCAACCTTCTGGCACGGGGTGGGGGGGAGAGTCTGGGCGTGGGCTGGGAATGGACTAAGGCGGGGAGCGGCAACCCTTCAAGGGGAGGAGCAACAGAGAAAGTGGGCCTGTAGGACGCTGGCGGGGGAAGGGGCTGGGGATGGGAGTCGGGGACCCGGCGGGGTGGGGGCAGGGAGCGGTACTTACCGGGCGCGCGTTGAACGCACGCTTGCTTCCCGACGTCCCCTGGTTCCTAAGCAACCTGAGCGCAGGGGGTGGGGGCGGGGCGGCGAACTCAGTGGGTCTGTTCTCTTTGGTTCCAGGGCCTTCGCGGGAGGGGCCGCGTCAGCATCTTGAGCCCACTGGCTCCCAAACTGCCCCACCCCAAACCAACCCACCCCGGCTCTCAGTGACATTCGGAATGGGCATTCCCACCCACCCATTTTTTCCGTGAGAGGAGGGGTGGGGTGACTTACAGAGTACAAGTGGCAGAACCAGGATTCTAGATTCCAACGCCTCCCCCAGATAGTGACCGTTGCATCCCTTTTTTTAAAAGGATAAACAGAGCCCACATAGGAGAAGTGGCTGGCCCCAAGACGCAAAGCAAGTCACCTGCGAACTAGGAAGCAAGAGATGAGACTCCAAGTTCCCAAGTGGTGGCTATGGCCATGACAGTGACCTCCCCAACCACAAATAAAACAAAAGAACAGGAGCGGAGATTCTGGTCTTTATTAGCAAGCCCAGCCTGCAGTTCCCCTCCCCCCAGCTCAGCCCAGCCCAGGCGGACAGTGAGTCGGGGTCTCTGTGGGGGGCGGGAAGGGGTACCAGTGGTTCTACTCAAAACGTGTGCACCAGCTGGACTGCGGGCAGAGTCTGGACAAACTGGATGGAGGGTAGGCCCTGTGGGGTCATGCCCCCAGGTGCAGCTCCTGCAGGGACCACTTGTACCATCTGGGAGGCAGAAGCCGCAGGGACGCCCGCGGGAGCAGAGCCTGGGCCAGGTGGTGGTGGTGGTGGGGCCAGCAGCTGCAGCGCAGCGGCGCCTCCCCCAACGCTGCCATTCTCCAGCAGCTCGGTGGCCGGGGCACTGCGGATAATGAGCAGTTTCTGTCCCGGGGGGCCAGGGGTTGGCGGCTCAGCCAGCCCCGAGGGTAAGGTCTCTACCTCCTGCACACACAGCTGGGTCTGCTCCCCATCAGCCCCGCTCAGCACCAGGACACTCTGCAGCCCCTCCTCCGTCTGCAGCGTCTCAAAGAGCACATCCTGGACCACACCAGTGCTGGCCTCACCGTCACCGGGCTCCCCCGGGCCGGGGTCCGCCAGCAACTCCTCCGCTGCCCCACTCTGAACCACCAGCAGATTAGGTGCCTCAGTGGTGACGGCTCCCCCACTGGAATTGGACAGCTGACCCGTTACAGGCTGGAGCTGGACCGTGGTCACCTCCTGGGCCGGCTGGAGCTGGACCGTGGTCACCTCCGGGGCCGGCTGGAGCTGGACCGTGGTCACCTCCGGGGCCGGCTGGAGCTGGACCGTGGTCAGTTCCGGGGCTGGCCGAAGGGGTTGGAGCTGGACCCCGCTCACTTCCTGCGGCCCTGCTTCCCCAGCCCCCACATTCTGCAGAACTATGAGGCTCTGCGCTCCCGCGCTGGCCCCGGTGTTGCTCCCTCCCTGCACCCCTAGCCCCCCAGGGCCTGGCAGCCAGACTACTCCAGCCCCCTGCCCAGCTTTCCCCACTGCCCGTGGGCCCTGCCTTGCACCGCTGCCCCCCCCACCAGTACTGGAGGAGGGCAGCAAGATGAGCTTGGGGGGGACGGGGGGAGGCGGGGGTGTGGGGGGCTGGACGCTGCTGGGGATCAGCTGGAGGCCCTGAGCAGTCTGCACCAGGAGAAACGTCTGGGAGTTGGGGGCTGCTGGGCCGGGGGGCGGGGCCTGGGCCGAGACTCCTGCCACCTCTAGGGAGAGCGTGGCCTGAAGGTGGGGTAGAACGTGGACATCTTGGGTGGCGGACGGGGCTGGGGCGGCAGCCAGTGGGGCAGGGGCCTGGGGGCCGGCGCCGGGGGCTGCGGGGCCAGAAGCGGCGTTGGCCGGGGCATGCGTCCTTAGGTGCCGCTGCAGGTAGGCGGCCATGACAAAGCTGCGGCCACAGATGGGGCAGGCAAAGGGGCGCTCGGCCGAGTGGGTGCGCTGGTGCAGAAGCAGGTTGGACGAGTGCGTGAAAGTCTTGGGGCAGAGCGGGCAGCGGAAGGGCCGCTCGCCCGTGTGCACGCGCTGGTGCTGCCGCAGGTTGGAGGTCTGGGCGAAACTCTTGCCGCACACGCCGCAGGAGTGGGGCCGCTCGCCCGTGTGCACGTGCCGGTGGCGCCGCAAGCACGACGTGTTGCGGAAGGCTTTGCCGCACTCCCCGCAAGCGTAGGGCCGCTCACCCGAGTGCAGCCGCAGGTGGTACTGGTAGTGCGACGACCACTTGAAGGTAAGGCCGCACTGGCCACAGGTGAAGGCCCGTAGGCCGGTGTGCACGCGCTGGTGGATGGCCAGCAGCGACGAGCGCTTGAAGGCCTTGCCACACTCACCGCACTGGTAGGGCCGCTCGCCCGTGTGGTCCCGCAGGTGGTAGCGCAGCCCGGACGAGCCCTTGAAGGCCTTGCCGCACTCGCCGCATTTGTAGGGTCGCTCCGCGGAAGCCGGGGCGGGCGCGGGCGCCGGCGGGACGGGGACGGGGGCGAGCGGCTCCTGGGGACAGGTGACTTCGGCAGCCTCGGCCTGGGGGGGCGGGCGCCCGGCCGCTGCCTCCTCCACGTGGCACTGCTGGTGCGCCAGGAGACTGGCCAGCTGCGGGAAGGCCCCGTCACAGCTGCCGCAGCGGAACGCCTGCCCGCCGGCCGCCCCGTGGCTGTGCTGGTGGCGGGAGAGGCCGGCCACCGTCCGGAAGGACTTCCCGCAGGGGAGGCAGGCGAAGCCTGGGGCAGCGGCGGCGGGAGGGGGCTGCGGCAGAGGGGACGGCGGGCACAGTGAGGGCGGCGGGGGAGGGCCGGCCTTCCGCGGCTCCGAGGGCGCGTCCGCGGGCGGGGGCGGCGCCTCCGGCCCGGGACAGGGCTGATGCTCCAAGAGCAGTTCCTCGCTGCCGAAGCCTAGCTCGCAGCCGTCGCAGCGGTACACCAGCTCCACCGTGGTCTCGGCCGCGGCCAGAAAGAGCTCGGGCACCACGGGCGGGGGCGCGGGCGGCGGGGGCGCCGGCGGGCTGGGGGGTTGGAGGGGCCGCTGTAGGTAGGCCTCGGAGACCAAGACCTTGCCGCCGGGCTCCCGCGGCGGAGGGGCGGGGGCGGCGGCGGCGCTGCCGTGGGTGCGCTGATGCAGCAGCAGGTTGGACGAGTGCGTGAAGGTCTTGGGGCAGAGCGGGCAGCGGAAGGGCCGCTCGCCCGTGTGCACGCGCTGGTGCTGCCGCAGGTTGGTGCTCTGCGTGAAGCTCTTGCCGCACACGCCGCAGGTGTAGGGCCGCTCACCCGTGTGCACGTGCCGGTGGCGCCGCAGGCTGGACGAGTTCTTGAAGGCCTTGGGGCAGTCCGGGCAGGGGTAGGGCCGCTCGCCCGTGTGCTGGCGCAGGTGGTACTGGTAGTGGGACGACCACTTGAAGGCCAGGCCGCACTGGCCGCAGGTGAAGGCCCGCAGGCCAGTGTGCACACTGCGGTGGATCTGCAACAGCGACGAGCGCTTGAAGGCCTTGGGGCAGTCGGGGCACTGGTAGGGCCGCTCGCCCGTGTGGCCCCGCTGGTGGTAAAGCAGGGCCGAGGAGCCCTTGAAGGCCTTGGGGCAGTCGGGGCACTTGTAGGGACGCTCGCCCGTGTGCGTACGCTGGTGGTGCAGGAGCCGGGACGACCAGCGGAAGGACTTGCCGCACTCCCCACACTCATACTGGGCCGTGGGGGCAGGAGCCACGGGGCCCGGCTTTTCCCCGGCCCCCTCTGCGGTAGAGGCCGGTGCCATGTCCGCGTGGGAGCCGACCATCACACCTGAGGAGGGATTCCGGGTCAGGCGAGGGCGGGTGGTCCCCCCACCTCCGCCCACACACCGGGTTATCGCCACCCCAAACCCATGGGCTGGCCCTGTAAGAGGCACGGGACACATCCCTTAGGATTACGGCTTCCTAGAGTCCAGGTCAGCTCTGGCCGGAGAGGCTGCCCACGATGGAAGGCTTTGGGTGCTAAAAGGGAAACTTATGGCAAATTGGGAGGAGCTGGTTACCCCCCCACCACCATGCCGGCCATCTCCTCCAGGAGGCTGGACCACTGGACGTGGCCCCTGTGAGGCCAGGTACTGCCTTTCCGGCCATGCTCAGCCCCTCTAAAGACAGGCAGTGTCTCTGAAGAAGGCTGGGGTCTCCAGCACCGCGCGTTGGATCCTCTGGTCCCTCTAAAGACCTCATCGTCATCCTGCCTCAATACCCGCTTCCACTGCCATCCCCCAAACCTTTCACTACAGACAAAGCCTCTGTGAGTATCCGCTCTCCACCGCCATCCTGCTCCACCACTCCCTCTTGGGACCCTAACCCAGAACCCCTGGGTTCAACCACATCTACCACCTGTGGGCTCTGCATCCTCCGCCCCCTCATCCACACCCTCACTGCCCCCCTTATCCAGCACAGATGCTGCTGGTGACTGGAAACTGCCTGGCCTCAGCCCCCTTTTGCATCCATGCCCAAGGATCTCAAAGCTCCCTCCCCAACACCCTGCACGGCTCATGCTGCATTTCTCTGGTCCACTCACCCACCCCACCAGGTGATACTTGCCATGTTTCTTTTCCCCTCAAATCTCTCTCCTATCCCCTCCTGCTCTTAGCAGGTGACCCTGCCATTGATCTTGTCGCTGAGAAAATAAAAGCAACCAGAAGAGAACATTCCCATCTTCCAACAACTACACTGGTGGTTCTCAATGGGGCAATGGAAGCTCCCTCAACGACCACCACCACGCCCTCCCCCCCAGCAGACATGTGGCAATGCCTGGAGACTGGTTCTGGTTATCTGGCTGTCGACTGGAGGAGCAGGTACCACTGGCATCTAGTGAGCAGAGGCCAGGGATGCTGCTCAACATCCTATGATGCACACTACAGCACCACCCCCAACCCCAAACAGCAAAGAACAATCAGTTCAAAATGCCAGTGGTGCTGAGGTTGAGAAACCCTGCACTACCCACTCCCACCTGCCTACTTCTGGGCCTAAAGACTCTGACTTCCCAGAGCTTCCCTACAGCGATTCTCCTCATCTCCTGGACCGTTCCCATCAGCGTACCCACAAGCCAGGTCTCTCCATCTTTATAACTTTAAAAAAAATTTTTTTGGCTGCATTGGGTCTTCATTGCTGCGCGCGGGCTTTCTCTAGTTGTGGCAAGCAGGGACTACTCTTCGTTGCGGTGCGCGGGCCTCTCATTGTGGTGCCTTCTCTCGTTGTGGAGCACGGGCTCTAGGCGCGTGGGCTTCAGTAGTTGTGGTACGTGGGCTCAGTAGTTGTGGCTCGCAGGGCCTAGAGCACAGGCTCAGTAGTTGTGGCACCCGGGCTTAGCTGCTGCACAGCATGTGGGATCTTCCCGGACCAGGGCTCAAACCCATGTCCCCTAGCATTGGCAGGCGGATTCTTAACCACTGCGCCACCAGGGAAGCCCTCCCATCTTTAAAAAAACAAAAACCCTACACCGCACTTCCTCCTCCAGCTATGGCCTCATTTCTCTCTGTCTCCTTGCAGCAAAGCAACTTAAAAGTGCCATCAATACATGCTCTTTCCCATCTCAAACCCTGTCAGTCAGGTCCTCCCCCAGCCCCCTCCACTCATGGCCTCCTAGTTGCTAAATCCAGTGGTCTCCGCTCAGTGGTCAATGGACGCCTTATTCTCTCTCTCCTTAAACCAGTCCCCTTGGCTTCTGGGATACCGTGCTCCTCACCTGCCACCCTTCTCAGTTTCGGGTGTTAGTCCTACTTGTGAATGTAGGAGAGTCCAGGGCTCTGTCAACCCTGCTATTCTGTATCCACACTCTCCCTGGAAGCCCTCACCCACTCCTGGGACTTCACAATCTATAAATTGGACAATTCCAAAATTGATCTCCACTTGATACCCGTCCTTTGAAACCTACACCCCTGCTAGACTATGCCATTTGGATGCCTAGTAGACACCTCAAACTTAACATGCCCAGAACCTAAGTCCAGTTTTTGCTACTGCTCTCTCCCCTCTCTGTCCCCAGCAAATATCTCTTTCACTCCCAGTCTGCTCCATCTCCAAAAACACCTTTATTTTATTTATTTATTTATTTATTTATTTTGCGGTACGCGGGCCTCTCTCACTGCTGTGGCCTCTCCCATTGCGGAGCACAGGCTCCGGACGCGCAGGCTCAGCGGCCACGGCTCACGGGCCCAGACGCTCCGCGGCATGTGGGATCTTCCCAGACCGGGGCACGAACCCATGTCCCCCGCATCGGCAGGCGGACTTTCAACCACTGTGCCACCAGGGAAGCCCACACCTTTATTTTTGCTCAGGCTAAAAGTCCCAGGGCATCCTCACCTCCTCTTTTTCTCTCACTCTCGATGACCAGTCCGTCAGCCGATTCCCCTATTCCAGCAGAAGCATCCTTGGAATCTGGCCACTTCCCACCAAGTCCCCCATTACCACCTTTTTCTAGGGCACCAACATCTCCCTCCTGGGCAACTGCAACAGCCTTCTGACAGCTCTCCTAGTTTCCACCCTTACTCTTCCTAACCCGTCTGTTCCCAACACAGAGGCTGAATGGAAACTGCCAACACAGACAGACCATTTCATTCCTCTGTGCTAAAGCCTTCCACTGCTCCCATTTGAGAGCGGAAAACGAATCCTTAACAAGAACCTTCAGACTTCCCACGGCCTATGGCTTCCTTCCCTCCCTGACTGTCCTGCTAGCCTCTCCAACCCTCAGAGCAGTATGGTCACAGGGCCGGGTCAGGCATGCCCATTCCCACCTGGGGGCCCACACAGGCCCCTGCCTAGTACCCGCTTCCCTCCAATATCCAGTAAGCTCCCTCCCTCACCTCCAAGTCTTTGCTGAAATGTCATCTTGGGGAATTATTCCCTGACCACCCAACCAAAGTCTGCAACCCCTCCCAGCATGCCGCATTCTCTTTCCTTGACTTATTTTTTCTCTCTATAGGGCTTATCACCTTCTAACCTACTTGATAATCAGCTTCCCAGCATCAGCACTGTTGATATTGGAGCTGAACAGGGGGCTGTTTCCTGCACTGCAAGTTGGTTAGCAGTATCCCCGGCCTCGGTCCACTAGATGCTAATGGCATCTTGTTCACTGTTGCATCCCAGCGCCTAGAATAGTATCTGGCACAGAGTGAGTACTCAGTGAACATATCTTGAATGAAAGAAAGCTGGGCATCCCTTTGCACAAGCCATAAAAAAGATTCCCTTTAAAAAGATGAGCGTCCCCTTTAAAATGTAAGCAAGTCCTTTTAAGAGGCTATCCCAGGAAGCTGCACGTGTCTTTCAGAAGGCCGGCATGCCTTAAACAGAAGACATCCGTGCTCTGAAAAAGCCGGGACCCATCTTATCCGGTAAAGAGCACCCTCTTCAAAAGGCCGGGCCACACCCTTCCATCAGGCCCGACTTCCCCTTTAAGAGGATCCTGCTCCTGCACAACCATCTCCACCTTTTCTGAGATAAACTAGGGACTGCTTTGAAGCCACTAGGATTCAGAAGCTTTTCTTTCAGTATCTAGGACACTGTCACCGGCCTTTAAAGAGACAATTTATTCGCGGGGGGTGATGGAAGCGGGAAGCTCTTTATAAACTGCACAACCTGCCCCGCCCCTTTAAAAAGCAGCCCCTTGCCCTTTAAGGGGTCGGAGCCGGCCCGGCGGACAAAAGTCGGAGGTGAAGTAGCGCCCTTCCCTTTAAGGCATCCCTTCCGGTTTCACATTCGCCGTTTCCCCAACGTCTCCGCCCTCCGGTCCCTCCCCCACCCCCTCCCCTCCGGTCTCTCACCTGCGGCCCCGACCGGGGAATGAGCTGGGGAGACCCAGGGCCTTCCCGCGGGGATCGATGGGAAGGCGGGGCCCCTGCAGCGGCGCTGTAGGAGTGGGGGCCGGGGAGGGGGCGGGGGCACGCTCCCTCCCAACGGCCCCCGGCGCGAGGCACCCAACCTTTATCGGCGGCCTCTCGCGCACACAAACCCCGACGTCGCCGTCAGTGCGTCAGGACGCCACGTGCGCAGAGGCCCCGCCTCCGTACCCACCATTGGCCGCTGGCTGTAGCGGCCCTTCCTGGCGCCGGCGGCGCGAGGCATCTTGGGAGTTGTAGTACTCTCGGGACCCCGACCACTCCGTCCTTGCAGCGGTCGCGAGGGTCGGCCCAAGGCCGGGGAAAGCTGGGTTGGGACGCAGGGTCGCACGTTCCCCTTTATTAGCATCGACTCCCTCTCGTCTGTGATAGAATCCTCCCCCGCAGCGCGGTTCCCGAGCAGGCGTCGCCCACCAGGGATGTGGTCACTCCTGGCCTGGCCCCACGCCCTGGCCCTCGGGGCTCCCATTTTTTCCCCCGTTGGGGAAACTGAGGCCCGCACCTGCCCCGCAAAGGTATCACGTGCTTGCGGTTCCCGGGCGTCTGTTGCATTCTCGCTAGTGCGGCTGTTGGGGAAAGTGGGCCCTGCTATGCAGGGGGCTGCCCAGCGCACCAGGGACCCCTGCCTCCTTCGCAGCCTGGGGGCTTAGGGGAAAACGGGGCTGTCCTGAATCCCCTCTCCCTCCTTCCATGTTCAGCTCTCACCAGCCTCGGCCTCTAAGTCAAACTGACTTTTCTGCGGGTCATCCAACTAGTTTCTCAAGCCTGGCACTGGTGACATTTGGGCGGGTCTTTCTTTACTGTGGGGGCTGTCTTGTGCCTTGTAGGGTGCCTAGCAGCATAGTGGCCTAACCCTAACCCACTAGAGGCCAACAGCCCTCCTCGCCACCCGGCTCCCCTCCACCACACGTTATGACAGCCGTCTCCAGACCTGGCTGCAGGTCCCCTGGTTGAGAACCCCTGTTCCAAGGCAGTCCTCTTCAGCCTGACGGCTACCCTTACCGCGTCCCTTCTCAACTACCGGAAAGCCGGTAGTTCTAGGACAGACGGATGGGGTTTGACTTTGCCACCTAGGTGTCCCCAACAACCAACAAGGGGCTTAATCAGAAGCAGACGGCACTCTGTTGAATGAATTTTTACAGCCTCCCACAGTTTCCCAAGGCCCCCAGGCAGGCTGGGACTCAGGTGTGATCTGAGTTGTTGGGCCGGGTCTTTATGAAATCTCCAGTGAATTCATGCATATAAAACCCTTGGCTCCCAGCTCAGCCCAAACTTTCCTCTCACTTCAGCTTTCACCTCCCCTGCCAGAAACGAAGCTGCCAGAGGCACTGGGGGCGGTGGGGCGGGGGCGGGGTGGGGGAGGGACACCTGAGGAGAGTTCTGAGCTGTTAAGGGGGGCGGGGGGGGGGAGGGACACCTGAGGAGAGTTCTGAGCTGTTAAGGAGTAAAGAGGGGAAAGCTAGGAAGAGGGGAGGCCTGCAGGCCCTGCCCCCTGGGGTCTGTATCCAAGGCTCCTCAACACATCAGGCTCTGGCCACTAACAGAGGCTTGGGGATGGAGGGAGGATCCCCTATGAGCACCTGGCTTCCACTCTCGGGGCCTGGTGCCTCTTTGGAGAGGAAAAAAAAAAAAAGTTGTGCAGATTTGACAGGCTCATTTTCAAGACAGCAGTAACAGCCCTGTGGTGTGAGTGATGGGACACTAACACCGTGTCTGGCTCTCCAGGGACACGGACGGGAAGAGGAGTTGTCCCCCCATCCATCCTTGAGCTGGACCTCTCATGGAGCCTTGTATGTGGAGTCCTCTGCAGCTGACACAGATATAGAAAGTTATCAGAGGCACGCAGTCCAGATTCTGTAGTGTCCAGACTCTCAGTCCTTACCCAGGACCCTCCCCAGATCTTGCCCTAGGAGCTGGGACATAGCAATGGGGCCTTGGGAGGGGGCAACAAAAGTTCGGTCCCAGTGAGTTTACAAAATCTACAGGGGGTGAAGGGTGGCAATAAACAAGACATAATAAATAACACGTATCCCATGCTATGTGCCGCTAAGCCTCTCAGAGAAAAAATACAGCAGGAGAGATGGGCGTGGGGGCATGTCCAGGGCTGGGGCAGTGGGTGAAGGCTTGATGTGGGACTAAGCAAACATCTGGACATACACCTGTCCAGACCCCAGGCATCGTTTTTTTTTGGCCGCGCCACACACCACGCGGGATCTTAGTTCCCTGATCGGGGATCAAACACCAGGGATTGAGCCCACGCCCCCAGCAGTGGAAGCGCAGAGTCTTAACCACTGGACTGGCAGGGAAGTTCCCCCAGGCATTGTTATTTCTGGCCAACAACACCCCACCCCAGGTACTTTTCGCAACCCCTCCCACTAGATCGGGCATCCCATCCAGCCCCAGTCCCTCTGAGCCCCCTGCCTTGCCAGCCAGGTGAACCATTCTTCCCATGGGGGACAGGGATGGGAGTGGGGACTGCAGTCTTTGAAGGTGGCCACGACTACCTACCCAACACTTCCCTGGGCCCAAGGTTGTCACTCACGTCCCACAAGCCCTGTGTGCACGTGGGGGTGTCTCTGCATTTACCCCCATCCCAGCCAAAAGGATTGGCAAGGTCTGCACCCCCATCCCAAGGACGTAGTCGAAGGAGAGGAGAAACCCTGGTAGGAACTGGGGCGCCTAGCCCTTCCCTCTTCACTCTCCCTCGCCCATCCCTACCAGCCACACTCCAGGCTTCTGGGGCACTCCAGCTCCAAGGTGGCTCATCCAGGACCAGAGTCTGGGCCCTGCCCACTTTGATTACAGAGCGTGGAGGGGGCTCAGGTCCCACTCACCGTGCCCCCACCAGTGTTCCTGGACCCCAGACACCTGAGCCTTTCGGCCAGCCTCCCTTCCCTCTAGAAGTGGGGGGTGTCCTGCCGTGTGGACATTCGATTCTAGTTTTGGCCACTCAGTCCAACACCTTGGTGACAGCACAGCCTGCACTCACTGGAGAAGAGAGGATTGGGGTTGGGGACACCTCTCCCCGGAGCAGCCCTCACCCAACCCCCCAGAGGAGGTGTCTGGGGCAGAGACAGGACTCCCGAGGCCAGAGACTAAAAATAAAATATCCTACAGACGTAGCGAACAAACGTATGGATACCAAGGGGGAAAGTGGGGTGTGGTGGTGGGATGAACTGGGAGATTGGGACTGACATGTACACACTACTGATACTATGTATAAAATAGATAACTAATGAGAACCTACTGTATAGCACAGGGAACTCTACTCAGTGCTCTGTGGTGACCTAAATGGGAAGGAAAGCCAGAAAAGAGGGGATGTATGTATACATATGGCTGATACACTTTGCTGTACAGCAGCAACTGACACAGCAGTGTAAAGCAACTATACTCCAATAAAAAAATAAATAAAAAATAAAATATCCTTTTTCACATAAGTGGAGTAAAAAGAGCAGAGATACACTTTAAGTGGGGGGAGGGTAGGGGGCAGGCAAGAGAAGTCCCCAAGTCACAGCTGTCAGCTGTCCCAGGAAGAAGGAACCAAGGGGCCAGCCTGTGCCTCCCACAGAATGAGGATGCTCCTTTCCAGCATCCCTAGGGGTTCTCATGGGGTGCCGCAGCCTGCCCTGCCCTGCCAGCCCTCTCCACAAGGAAGGGGCATCATCCTCAGTTCACTGGGGTTGGCGGGGCAGGAAATAAAGGCTCTCTGAAGGTTCTTGGCCACGCACAAAACTGGAAGTGATTCCTGCAACCAGGAAGGGACTTAACTGGGGGCAAGGCCGGGGTCTCCAGCCCCAGGGTCCAGCCCCATCCAAGGCCTATCTAGCGGGTCTCACATGCGTGTCAGAAGCCCATGGAGGCTGCCCAGGGCATGGGAGCCAGAGGAGACCCCTCACCCAGCCTGGGGGGAAACCAGGGCAGACTCCCTGGAGGAGGACAGTGCACAGGGTCCCATCTGTGTGGGGAAAACAGACCCCTCTGTTTGTTTTTTGTTTTTTTGGCTGCGTGGCAGGCGAGATCTTAATTCCCCAGCCAGGAATGGAACCCAGGCCCTCAGCAGTGAAAGCGCGGAGTCCTAACCACTGGACCACCAGGGAATTTCCTACATTTCTTTCTATATGTAATATATATAATCTCTCTAGATAGACAGATAGATAAATAGATAGATAGATAAAGATAGAGCCTATTGGTTCTGTTTCTCTGGAGAACCCTGACTAATACAAGAAGATTTTCCTGGGTGGGCCGGATCTAATCAGGCGAGATCTTTAAAGCTGGGTCTAGAGGTCAGAGCAGTGGAATATCAGTGATTCTCCTGCTGGCCTTGAAGACACCAGCCTCCAAGGGTTCTACAGATGCAAGGAAATGAATTCTGCCATGTGAGCTTGGAAGAGGACCCTGACCTCAGCCTGCAACTTGATTGCAGCCTTGTGAAACCCTGAGCTAAGGACCCAGCTCAACTGTGGTGCCTGGACTCCTGACCCACAGGGACTGTGAGAAAAGTAATGCATGTTGTTTTACACCACTGTGTTTGTGGTAATTTGTTATGCAGCACAGATAACAAATACATTTCTTGTGTTGGTTTGCTCGGGCTGCCGTAACAAAGTGCCACAGGTTGGGTGGCTTAAACAACAGAAAGTTATTTTCTCACTATTCTGGAGGCTGGAAGTCCAAGATCAAGGTGTCAGCAGGGTTGGTTTCTCCTGAGGCCTCTCTTCTTGACTTGCAGACGGTCACCTTCTCCCTGTGTCCTAACATGGTTTCCCCTCTGCACCTGTCTGTGTCCAAATTTCCTCTTCTTGTAGGGACACTAGTCATATAGGAGTAGGGCCCACTCTACTGACCTCATTTTAATTTAATTACCTCTTTAAAGACCTTATCTGTAAATACAGTCACATTCTGAGGTATGGTGGTTAGGACTTCAACACATGAGTTTGGGAAGACACGATTCAGCCCATCGCTCTGCTCA